TTTTTTTGAGGATCTTTCCTTCCATGCAGAATGGACCCAAATTCTTCGTTTTCCCAGATCGACCCGGTGGAGGAATCGGAGATGGGTCGGAAGCGTGTATGACATGTGAGCTCACCCCCTCTGATCACGCCCCGATCCCTCTGGAATCCCACAAATCGGATCGTAGTAGGATCGGAAGGGTGTATGACAAGTGTGTCCCCGCCTTAACACAACACAACACACTGCCTACAGAGACACGCAGCCGCTGTCCGCCAGGGGCGCCAGTGCCAGTGTCAGTCGATGACAGCGGACAAACTTAACCTATATGTTGCCGTCACACACAAGTTGTTCTGCGCTTCGCACTTGGTTCTGATATGTTTTTTGTAGACATTCGTTTACGTTATTTAATTAAATAGTGTTTTGTGTTATAAACTCAAAGTCCTGTGCCACGGAAAAGGGTTTAGAGAAATTTAAAAAGGCTTTATCAAAGACAAACAATGAACTGTCCAATAGGCCTACACGTGATGAGGAAGAGTCAGTGTCTTTCAACACTAGTTCCAATGTAGAAAAGTCAGTTTTAGAATTAGATGAGAATGACACTAATCTGCCCATTAGTGACCTGAAATGAACATCCATTTTGACGAGTAAAGTAATTAAATTAGAGGGCCACTTGATCTTAGTGCATGTGCTTCTGTCGGACCCAAACAACCGATGCTTAATTTCCCTAGGCAAAATATATCAAGAAAGCAAAGGTCTTTCCAGCCCAGATAGCAAACTCTTTTTCGGCAAAGTTGCCGTTGATTGGTCGGGGCAAAGTTGTTTCTGTAACTTTGTCTTAACTTTTCATTCAGTTGCCATGGCAACTTTCTTGCCCCTAAAGTAATAAAAGTTGCCGCATCTTTGCAGCAAGTTTGCACTGGCAAACATGTAGTTCGATAGTTAAGCGCGGGGAGCGCTGGTAGGCATACCATCAAAGTTCCATCCAACCCCATTCGTACTCGTTGACAGGATCGACGACATTTTGCAATTTGCATCATAATCATACTACCTTTCTGCTAATAAATAAGGTTTAGCTTTATTTTACTTAACTTATTTGTTTTTGTAAGTAAACTAAGTGAAAATTTGAAGTGGCTATTTGAAGATCTGCATTTGATTTGGCTATGTATTTGAAGATCTGCTTACAGTATCAGAAAATCCATCAACGAGCTGTGTGTTAAGGTAAGTGCATTTAATTTAAACTACTTTTACCCTCGTACAACTTGCACCAAAGAAAATTGTCTAGTCTTGCTTAGTTATTCATCTAAAAACAACTTTCATGTCCATATAACCACAGAAAACATGCGTGTTTTAAGTCAAGAGAATTATTATTAAAACGTTAAACATCCACGATATTAACAAAGAATCATCTGCACTGCAAGTAAATATGTGTGTAGTCAAGTAGATTTGCTATATAACTTAATGACCTAGAAACCTAGTGTATGTTGACTAGCCAATGAAATAATGACCATGACAATAGTAATTCAGTTACTTTTCTAGTAGTGTATTTATGTCCAGTAATTGTTATGTAAAGAAACCACAAAGCATTGGTCTAGCATCTAGACCTAGTCAATTGAATTGCTTCTAGGCCCATAGATATTTTAGGTAGGTAGGCCTATTCTACCGGTAGTTTAGTCCTGGTAAGGCCTACGCAGCAGAACCTTGATATGGGCCTATAACTAAATCGATTGTTAAAACAGGCATAGGATCAGGCCTAACCAATATTTTCATGTAACTTAAATCCATTTTAGCACTATTTACAATTGAAAATTTTTTCTTTATGCTAATCTAAGTTTTTTTTTGTTGAAAACTATAATACACATGTTACTTTATCATTGTTTGTATCCAAACAAAATTGTTTGTATGTATTGTTTGTTATTCCTTTCATAGTTATCTATTTCAGCATTAAACCAATTAAGTTTTTGTGCCAGTTCCAAGTTTTAAGGTTTTGAAGTGAACTGTAGTTGAAGTGGGAATAAATAAAAGTTAATTGTGAAGAATGAAACTAGTATTTTCTAAACTTTAAAGTGTTAGGTAAGAAGAAAAAAATACTAATTCAAAATGCAGTCATACATTTCAACTATAAAGTGCAAACGTTGCACGGTTTGTGATTTGTGGTACCGCGAAAGTGACGCACATTTAAAAAGCCTTGAACATTTTACTAAGCTATATGGGTTTTGCCCAATAGTTGAAACTGAAAGCGCTGCTAAATGCAGACTACTGACATTTTTTCTAAAAAAAATGGTCTTGATATTTTAGACTATATCGGCTTTTTTGATCATTGTAAACAGTTTAACATTGATATACTAGAGGACGAGCTTGCTAGGCCTACATGTAAGGCAGTGAAATGTAATTTTATTTTAAAATCTTTCTATGTGAAAGATGGTATCCTGAAAGATAGGAAAGAGTTAGGTTTTAAAACCCGCAATGAGGCGGTGTTTGAATCAAGAGATTTTGATCAATTTAGTGACGAGTTCTTTGTTAAATTATCAAAGGAGGAAAACGATTTTCTAAGTAAAGGATCAGGTTGGAGTCTTAGTAAAATTATTAGTATTGAAATCAGAATAGACAAATACACACCTCTTAAAGGTAAGAAACATATTCCCCTTCCTGCGGATATAGCTTCTAAACATACAGTTGTAAATGTCGTAAATGATGATCCCCAACTGTTTTAACCTCTTCAAGGAGCAAGGCGCATATGGGTACATTAACTTTAAGTAATTTTATTTTATATTTCATAGGCATCCACATCTGCTAAAAGACATTATTTGAGTACATTAACTTCTTCAATGTTGGTAGCATTGATTGGGTTTTCTTCCAAAAGGCTAGTTTCAGCTGTGTTTCAGTTGTTCTAACCTTTGTTTACGTTTTGGTGAAGTGAGTCGGTTGTGCGAGTTTCAAGTCTTGTAAAATGCATTTGTAATGTAGGTATACAACTAATAATTTTTGTTTGTGATACCTTATACCGTATATTTTGAAATAATAACTAATATACACCAATATATTACCAGATAAAAACACGATCGTTAATTTAATATCCGTACTCATTTGAGTACAAGTCTCAAATGTGGCACTATGCTTATTGTACTCATATGCGTACATTGCTCAAATGTGGTTTAGTTGCATTTTTTAATGTACCCATATGCGTTATTTGCTCAGATGAGTCTTACTAAAGTAAAAGCAAATAGAATTGGCGGGTCAATATCGTGTTTTGAAATAGGCCAGCTGGTATTATTCACCCGCCAGTTCTATTTGCGTTTACTATAAATATAAGTTTATTACATATAGGCCTACTGTACTTTTGTACAAATTACATCGAATGTTACTGTTTGTAACCGATAAATTGTGATTACAATACAAATGCATTTTACAATTTTTTTTTATTTCTAGTGGTTTTCAGTGTTTTCAAAACATGGATAGACATTTGAACTTAGCAAATGAACACAACATAATAGAACACATTTTAACAAATTTAGATGACCCAAATTCATCAGACCTAGAAATTGATGATTGTTTAGAAGAAGATTCAAATGAAGATCAGAATGACAGCCTACCTGAGTTTCAATCACAGTTATTTGATGATTTACCAGATGATGATTTTCAAATACCAGGAGCTACATTTGAAGCAGACAATCTTAACAACTTTCAAGAGGAGGATGATGCAAATATCACATCTTCCGATACCACAGAGGTAATAAACCATAATTTAAATTTTGTGGACATTGTCAACGATGAAGGTGTTTCAATTCAAGAAGGTTCTTATGAAATAAACTATGAAGAGTGTTTTAGTTCAAGAAGGTGGACATCAAATAAACGGTGAAGGTGTTTCAGTTCCAAAAGGAGGATATGAAATAAACGATGAAGGTGTTTCAATTCAAGAAGGTGAATGTGAAATAAACGATGAAGGTGTTTCAGTTCAAAAAGGTGGATATGAAATAAGCGATGAAGATGTTTCAATTCAAGAAGGTGGAAGTGATATAAACAATGAAGGTGTTTCAGTTAAAGAAGGTACGTATGAAAGAAACAACTCGGTTGGTGATCAAAACAATGCAACGTCTAACATAGTAGTACTAGATACACTGTCCATTTTAGAGGCAAAGTTGCCTACTAACCAAATTCCCTCTAAAACTACAATCCCAAATGATCTTGTGACATCGTCAAGTTTGCGGGATAAACCCACAATGTCATCAGGTTATGGCAAAACTGTAAACCAAATTCTCACAAGTATTCCAGCCTCATCTGACCCAGCTATCGCACAATGCTCTTCAGGCACTGAACCAATTCCCTCAAGTTCTCAAGCTGGATCCATTTCAGATAGGCCCAACAATAATTCTTTCAGTCATGATAAGAAGAAAAAATTCAGCAAAAATCTAAAAAAACCAATGTAACTCCCTTGCAGAAAAACAAAGACAAAACTAAGCCAGCTGCTACTAAAAATAAAAAAAGTAGGCCTGACCTTCGTAGTGGCCAACAGAAGAAAAAAAAGTTGACTATCCTAAATGGACCCTAAAAGATAATGATTTTATTAATAACGTTCCTGAATTTCGTGGACGTATGACTTTTAATTTAAGTGAACCTCATGCTACTGAAAGCCCATTGCATTTCTTAATGAACCTTTTCCCAGAAGAAATTTTTGATATCATAGCAAGAGAGACAACTCGTTATGCCTCACAATGTGGAGATCCAGAATTTACAACTAGTAGTGATGAAATCAGGGTGTTTTTGGGAATTAATATAATTATGACATACATACACTACCCCAACTACCGGATGTATTGGTCATCATTACCTTCACTCCGGATGGACTTGATTGCCAATATTATGCCCCTAAAACGCTTTGAAAATATCAAAAGGTTCCTTCACTTTGTTGACAACGATACTATTCCTAAGGATAAGACAACGATACTATTCCTAAGGATAACAAAGACATTTTTGTCAAGTTGAGACCGGTACTTGACATCCTTGCAAGAACCTTTCAGGAAGTAATGACTCCTCCGGAATATTTGGCAGTGGATGAGGCTGTTATCCCATTCAAAGGGCGTTCACGAGGGAAACAATACCTAAAGAAGAAACCCAAAAAGTGGGGATTTAAGGTTTGGGTATTGGCTGCGTCCAATGGATATGTATCCAAATTTGAATTGTACCAAGGAAAAAGAGATGAGGCTGGAACAGATCTTGGTATAATAAGTGATACGGTCCTAAGAATGTGCTCAGGAATTGGTGGCTTAAACCACAAACTTTTTCTTGATAATCTGTTTGTTAGCTATAAGCTTCTAAAAAGACTGGTGGAAAATGACATCCATGTTGTAGGAGTAGTAAGATCTGACAGGCTTTATGGAGCCAATTCTGTCCTACCAGGGGCCAAAGATTTTTCAAAAGAAGAAAGAGGACAGATGAATGTTGCTACTTCTGAAGACAATATTACCATATTACAGTGGAAAGACACAGGAGTGGTTTACGTAAGTTCAACGTATGCAGGTATCGAGCCCAAAGATAAAGCAGAGAGGTGGGACAAAGTGGCTAAAAAATACATCATGGTGGACAGACCCCACTGTGTGGCCATATACAATCAATTCATGGGAGGAGTGGACCTCAGTGACAGGATGGTTGCTCACTACCCTCATGCTATGAAAAGCAAACGATTTTATCTTCGGATTTTCTTTTATTTTCTCAACGTTGCTATAGTTAATGCATGGATTGTTCTAAAACTAAAAACGTCATCTAACATGTCATTCTTGGATTTTAAGGCAGCCATAGCGAATGCCTTGATTAAGACCACTCTGAAAAAGAAAAGGGTTGGTCGACCACCCACTAATACACCACCGTTAAAAAAAAGATGTCGACCAGGTGTAATAGGCGATGTACGTTTCGATGGTGAAGGGCACTATCCTTCAAAGAGCGTTCCAGGGAGATGCCGAGAGAAAAATTGCAAGAGCCGAACAAGGTACAAGTGCAGTAAATGTGAAGTTCCTGTGTGCCCTGAGTGTATGGCGAACTTTCATGACAGAAGCCTTTGACTTAGCATACAGTTAACTTATGCTGCTGTACACTGTACATAAACTGATTCATGTTTTAACTTTTGTAACTAACTACAATTGTTTATGTTGATTTTTTATTTTATCACACACTAAAATTTTCTGAAATTGTTTATGTATTAACTTGTTATTTTTAGATTGTCTGTTTGTGTTTTATGCGTTTAGGTTTTTATGCTTTTTTTTCAAATAACTAGGCCTATAGCAAATAAGAACATTCAAATATTTCACTTTGTACACATTTGTATTTTTGGGTTTATCATCAGTAAATCAGTTATTTTGTTATAAAATAAAATACTTTTATTCACTTGTACTTGAATTATTTGGATAACTCCTTTACAAATGCTTATGAAATAGGTTGGTTGAATTTTTTTGATTAAAAATAGTAGTATTTTATAACTGTATTACTGTTAAACTTAAATACTATATTAGTATTTTACATTACTGTAGTACGTTTGAATATATCATAGTATAGAAAGTCTGATGTAATGTAAAAGTTAATGTACTCATTTGTGACCATGAAGCAGAAGTGGGTAATGTTCTTAAAATACAACAGGCCTACATATGTGTTGTGTACTCATTTGAGTACATTAACAAATTTATTAATAATTTACAAAATAAAAATAAGAAAGTTGAAAAAAGTACTGCCAGGATCATTTTAGACATAAACCAACCAAAAAATAAAATTATTATCAGTTTTTAAAACATTCACTAAAAAACGTCCCTGCAGAGGTTAAATATTCAATATTATCAAAATTTGTTGAAGGTGGTAATGCACATAGAGTTTCAAAGGTTGGAATGCCAGACGAAACAGAAAGTAAATTACGTTTCACCAACTTTAAAAATAAACAAATTGTACCCTATGTGTGTTATGCTGATTTTGAAGCGTTGCTAGTTTAACAAAATCCTTGCCCGATTTGTAATGAGGCAACTTGCTCAGAACCCAAAGTGTGTTTTTTTGGGTACGTTCCAAGCTTAGTTTTTGTTCCCTACAACGAATGCAATCATTTTTGCTTGTATATTGTAGATCTGAAGAATAAATTGCTTACCCATCTTGACCCAATGAATGACGATCCAATAATAAATTAAAAGGAATGTAAGAAATCACGGAATTTCTAAAAATCAGAAACCGTTTATCTACAATGGAATCTATTAATATTCAAGAATTCAGCTTCATTAACATAAACCATCCCCAGCAACGTGATAGCAGCAGCTGTGGAGTTTACGTCATATATTACATATCAGTATTGAGCGAAAATAACATGATTGAAAATATAGATATGGTATTTGACAGCACTGAATTTAAAGAGAAACTTAAACTACGCTGTCTCCAATCATCCGAGCGTATCTATCTATATATATAATTCTGTAAGATAACATTTTTACTAGAAAATTGTGGACGTCTGGCAAGTCGCAGAAAAGTGGAGTCACTCAAAATCAACCTTAGTACCAAATATCTTGGAATTACAATTACAGAAAATTTGCACTGGACTGAACATATTGATAGTATGATAAAACGTTTGAAAGTTGTATACTGCTTAGTAAGAAGACTCCAAAACATAGTCGATCAAGAAGTATTACTAAAAATATACTATGGATGCTTTCAGAGTGTAACAGCCTATGGCGTACTCTTTTGGGGAAATAGCCTTGATGCAAAGAGAGTTTTTATCCTACAGAAAAGAATTGTTGGAACAGTTTTTAAGCAACATTACTTAACACCATATGCACCTTTTTTTTAATCACTGAAAATTTTAACCGTACCGTCTCTTTACATATTTGAAGCAGCAGTAACAGTTAAGAAATCTCCCCAATGCTTTATTCGAAGTTACAACGTCCATAACATTAATACGAGACAGAAGAAAAATTTACATGTACCTCAGATTAATTCAACTTTAGCAAGAAATAGCCCTCACTATCAGTGTGTAAACATTTTTAATAGACTACCAAATGAGATTGAGGAAGAACCTTCGGTGGAATCCTTCAAAGAAAAATTGAAGAATTTATTACCGGAATCACCATTATATAAAATTGAAGACTTTATGGCAAATCCGTAAATATAAAAATGTAAAAAACTGACGTCCACGGCGCATCAGCGCTTCCAGTGGCAACACTTCAAGTATCAAGTAAGACATAAAAAAAACACAAATTTAAGATACAACGATACTAACACGAACCGTCAAGGGGGTTATGTTTACACAAGAAATTTACACAAGAGGGGGTAAAACATATAGTGTAAAATATAAATGTGAACTAAGGTTACTAATTGGGTGTCCTTTGCTTGCAGACATTTTCAACAATGACGTCGACGGAATCATACGAATACTCCTAACACTGGAGCACTCAATACCCAGAAGGGGGGTTAGGGGTGGCCGGGGAAGGGCAGAGGTAGGAGGTTAGAGAGGAAGAGGTGGAAGACAATTGCATTATACTGTACAGCATGATCAGAGTTAAGGAACATCTTATCTTATGACAATAATTGTTCTATATAAGGATAATATGGAAGCTTTAAAAACCACTGGGGCAGAACCCGAGGAACTTGTTCAAAAACTTTTAAGGTGTACATTTGATAAAACTTTTAAGGTGTACATTTGATCAACAAAATTTAAACTACATTTTAAACATTCGTATATAAGTCAAATACATAGTTCATAGTACATAGTTCATCGTATTTTTATTTCCATTAGTATTAGCCTACTTTTTCTGATTGCAGGGACAGAATTTATGACTCTGAGGAGGAATACCAAAATAGAAACCCGTATCCCCCTACTTCGGAATAAAGATACCGATCATTAAAAAAAAATATTTAGTTTTATTTATATAAAAGTTAATACTACATTATATGTGTTGTTAATCTACATTATGTGTGTTGTAAATTGTTTTCCTTTAATAATATTAGTAGCAAAATTGTATATACACGAATCGTTAAACATTATTTTTAATTAATAATCAAGTGTATAATACAAGGTGAGGCATAATAACGAGCGATTTTAAAAAGCACGCGAACCAAGCTGCGTTGGAGGGAGGTTGAGGGGATAGCATCAGTTACGTTTGGCGCGAAATAGCATTTAGTCACAATGGAGCGCTGGACCCCACAGCATCGTGCGTACGCTGTCAAAGCCTTTTATCAAAACGGTAGTTCATACCAGTTAGCACGTCGTGCATTCCGCAACCATTTCAACATTAATCGGAATCAGCCGGTGCCATCTGCCTGTGCGATTAAAAATTGGGTTAAGAACTTTGAAGAGACTGCGTGAACGACAAGGAAGAAAACAGGAAGACCGAAAACTGTGCGCACACCTGAAAACGTTGAACGTGTAAGAGTCGCCATTGACAGAAGCCCTCGTCGCTCAGCTCGCCGACACAGCGTTACACTTGGGATTTCAAACCGAACGGTAAGACGAATTTTACACCAAGATTTGCACTTCCACCCGTACAAAATCCAAATGGTTCAGGCCCTAAAGGAAACGGATTTTGTAAGCAGAAGCCGGTTCAGCTTAGAATTTTTGGATTTGATTAATGAAGACGAGGACATTGTAAACCGTTTGTGGATGAGTGATGAAGCGCACTTCCATCTCTCAGGTTATGTTAACAAGCAAAACTTTCGATTTTGGAGTGATGTTAACCCTAGAGAACTGCATCAGCAGCCATTGCATTCCAAAAAAGTAACTGTGTGGTGCGCCATGTCTTCATTAGGGATCATAGGGCCATACTTCTTTGAAGATGGCCAAGGCAATGCGGTGACAGTGACTTCGCAGAGATACGCAGAGATGTTGGACAACTTTTTTACTCCACAACTTGGACAGTACGAAGTGAACGATGAAATGTTTTTCCAGCAAGACGGAGTAACATCCCACACTGCTCGAGTAAGCATGCATATTGTCAATCAGTTGTTTCCAAATCGTGTGATCTCCCGAAATGGAGATATTGCATGGCCCTCTCGTTCACCTGACCTCACAGCATGTGATTTTTTCTTGTGGGGTTATCTGAAAAGTAAGGTTTACCAAGGTAATCCTCCTAGAACAATTGAAGCCCTGAAAGAGCGGATCCGGCAGGAAGTTGGTCAAATCCCACTGGCAATGCTACGAAATGTGATGAGTCACTTCAAGGTCCGGCTGGAGGAATGTGTACGTTTAAACGGACGCCATCTTACTGGAGTTATTTTCAAGAAATAACTGACATTTTGCTGTTGCAGAAAATGCTTTTTCATGTTTTTTAATATTGTGGAATAAAAATAATTTTTTAACAAAGGGTTTTTATTTAACAGTATTTTTAAAATCGCTTGTTATCATGCCTCACCTTGTATCATTTAAAATGACAAAATGTAGTGGAATATCGATACAACGTAGCTTTACGTACATGTTCAGATTTGTTTACAAGATGTTATGTTATCCTTGTTTCACATTCACATATATTAGGAGTACCTTGAGTGTGGAGGCGTTACAACTTCGGTGTATGATGCTTTAAAAACTTTAATTACCTGTAACGTGGAGGCGTTACCTAGTCAAAATTACCTAAATATATACATTTATTTTTTCTTAGTTTTTTTATATGCTGTACACACAAGTAAAACCTAATATTTAAAACAATAAAAACCTGCGCAATATGTTTACAACTTAGGTTTATGATGCTTTAAAATCTTTGAGTACCTGTAGCGTGGAGGCGTTAACTAGACTTCAAGGTCAAACAAACTTAAATATGCATATTTATTTTTTCTTATTTTTTTGTTGTGGACACAAGTATATACTAACATTCCAAACAAGTAGTGTGAGATAGGCTGTCTCATGCCATCAGCTGATTTTACCGTTAGGGGTGGTAGGGGTGGAAATGCCGTAGTTTATAGCGGATTTAAGCTGACGTCATAATGAGGGTGATCATATGATGTTCAAGGTTATTTGTTTGTGTTAAAAAAAGGAAGCTAGCCTACAGTTGTAGTGTAGGATAGCTTCCTTAATTTGTTTATTTGTTATTTATAGAAAACACAGAAC